GCACACTGCTATCTGAAGTCTGCTGCTCTGAGCATGTCAGTTGGAGTGATGACATCATCGTGTTCCATTGCACAGATGTTTATAGTTGAGCTAACGAGGTGCCTAGACTTCAAAGGCTTCATTGTTCTGAATGAGAGATGAACCTCTTACATGTGAACGTTTTGTGGAAGAACCGTAACAGATATCTGTGAAATTTCAAAACGTGAAGCATGTCAAGGAAGTTGAGTATCTGAAGTGTAATTTTTGTGTAGTTTCGGGTTAATAATGTGGCCTTTTTGGCAGTTTAGCTAAAGGTGTGTGGCTGCTGCCGTGAGGAAATATCTGCCTGAAATTACAATGGGGTTTAATGGAGGAATGTTGAACGTTTTTGTCACTTCATGCCCTCAAAAAGCATTTTGTTTAATTATTTTTGCCAAATTATTTGTCATTTTTCAAGCTACGAGATGTTTTCCTACGTTTGTCATGATAAATTATGTCTCAGGAATGTAGGGTTTGGGAATTATGGCAGTTTAAAAAAAAATATGAATGCGAATTTCAAGCTGTCCTCCACTCTAGCTGTGACATCACACACATCTAGTTAATGTTAAAATGTGAAGAAAACCTCTAAAACAAGGTCTGAACAATGTTTAATATCTCTAAAAGTAAGAATCAGATTTAAAAGTTGTTTTACACGAATTATGTCAGAAAGATGTGTAACATTTTAAAGTTGGAATGAGGTGTCTGAGTGAAAGTATGAATGAACAGTTAGCAGTTGAATTGCATGAAGATTTGTTGAAGTCTGAAGATTTTCTCTATTGACTTCAATGTTAAAAATGTGATGTATTATGGGATGTATCTCTGGAATTATGAAAGTTATGAATGAGAAAAGTAATAGCCATCGATTCCCGACCGAGCTGAACGTTTTGATGTTTGAACGGAGTTTCTGCGATGTTCAATGCGGGAGGAGAAGCGCGGCAAAATACCGGCGGAATAATAATAAACTTTTCGTCCGTAGAAGAACAGTTAGTTGGAATGTTGTTCACAGCATTCCAACTAAATAATGAAACAAGGTAAAGATACAATAAACACAAAATATACCCTTTCCAACAAAGTTATGTTTTCTCACTGTTTGTATAATAATTCAAATGAAATGGTCAAAATATGCAGACTTCTTCATTAGCTAACGCAACTAATTTAGCCAAGTTTAATGCCAAACTTTGCCATAGGTGGTAACCATAGTGTGTAGGTGGTAATGTTATGTGCAAATGAACCATGTTTGCTTCACTGCATTTTACCATCGTAAATAGCATTGTTGGCTACGGGCATCCGGGTGTTAATGAGAACTGGATACAGCGTGGGAGGCGGGGCATCATTCATTCCTATGAGAGTTGCTGGCGCATGATGATAAAATGGCCCAACTTTTGAGAGAGCGAAACGTCACAGATTACCCGGCATACCTGAGAAGTACCCGTTTGTGCGCTCATAGCGCATGCGCAATTTTAACCAAAATGCTCGTTCACATCAAGCACGTCAATTTGCGTACACGTAACAGCATCGCACGTTCATGACAGCATGGTAATGGCTTGTTATTATGATGGATTTTATATTAAATAGACGGCAGTTACACCAGTTAGCAGCTAGCGGCTAGCTAGTAATTATGCTAATGTGCACATCAATCGTTATGTACTTATATTACGCTGTAACAGGATCTAGTGATATCCAAGCAATAGAGCTTCATTTAGCATGAAATAATTATTGCACTGTATGTATATATGTATATATATGTGTGTATATATATATACAGTAGCCTAAAATACGCTTCTTAGTCCAATAATAAGCTACAGGGACGTTAATCTAATGTCGGTAATATTAACTTTATTTAATAAAACATTTACGGTACAAGATTTAATCATACAGCCCAGCCCATGTAGTATAATATTTTACAAATGATGAATTACAGCAAACATGTGCAATATCCATTATTACAGCTCTGTGGGATGGCAGTAAGACGATATGGGTCCGTTCTTATTGTGCATCCATGGGTAAAGATACACGCATGTAGTGCTGCTGCGTGCTGAACACGTAACATGAACGTGCCGGGCGGCGCGGTCCCGTGGGTTAGATGCGCGTTCATAATGCAGAGGGATATAACTCTCAGAATCAGGCCCGGTTCCAGAAAAAAATTACTCAGGGTGCATCCGAGATTAGAGAGGGTGCAGTGGTAAAGTGCTATTTTTATAAGTGGGGAGTGGACCTAACAACCTCTAGGGGGGTCCTCACCTCCTCTAGGAGGGTCCTCACCTCCTCTAGGGGGGTCCGGGGGCATGCTCCTCCGGGAAGATTTCTTTTTTAAATATTGAAGTTAAAAGCATCAATCTGGTGCACTTTGAGAGCAAAATTAAGAGATCTATGGATCTATGTGCTCTTTGCTTGATTCATGCCTTCCCAGTCCCTTATCACGTACAAGAGCATACCACGCAGTTGTTGTAGCCAGTTGTGGTGAAGGTATCTGACTTACTTGAACCGAAATGTCTAATTAGCAGAAGATGGCATCTTTTTTACATGAATATTCCAGCCAATCTCTGTTTTGAAACCATGAGCTGTAAAATGAGCGCCTTACCCCACTGTACAGGCGAGCTGGGTACTTTTTAAATATACCTGGGCAGGCTCTGTTTTGCCGAGGTCCTCTGGCACATGCTGAGGGGTGGCGGTGTTTGGGGCAACGAAGACGGCTGCGGCTGCTCCGCCTCCGTGGGCGAGGCGGGCAAAGCCGGCGAGTCGGGTGGTAGTGTCCACGACAGTGGCCGCGGCCCGCGGGTAACGTAATGTCCCCACGATCTGAACTGTTATTACCTGCAGTAGATGCAGTGTTACTGCTGGCGATAAGGGCTGGTTGTTTTAACCATTTTCTGATGTCCATCATTTACTGCTGGGTAAGCACCTTTCAGATGATGAACGCGCAGCGGTACAGGTCACCCGCACCTGACATAATAACGTTACTTACTGTTTAAATTGACCAAATAAATGCAGCAGGCAATGTTATTTATTATTATTGTTATTATATATGTAATTTTTTTGACTTTTCCTTTTTTGACTTTTCAGTTTTCAAATGAGGGTGCATAACGACTCAACTAAGGGTGCAATGTACCCTTATGCACCCCTGTAGAACCGGGCCTGCTCAGAATAACGTTATTAGCACATTTTTACAACTTGAGGAACAAATGTTTTTCAAGTGTTCATACTGGGTGGTTTATTTAGTTTAAAAAAAATTATCCAACGATTTACAGACCACTCTTTCCCCATGTAAGTCAATCGGAAAAAGTGTTTCCGGGCCTGGCAACCAAACGGAAGTGTAGTACCGCCGTTTGGCCACCACAAATATTTTCATCTGAGTCCAGCGCACTTCCTGGGGGCTTGGTGTAAATAGCATTGTTAGCTACGGACATCCGGGTGTAAATAGCATTGTTAGCTACGGACATCCGGGTGTAAATAGCATCTGCCCTAATTTTACAATTTTTATGACTACCATTAATTATTTGTGTCACATTAGCCATTTTTTATAGGAATATAGCCACAACGTGAAATGCAAAAACATCTGATATTAGTCGATACATTGGTAAGAAAAATAATATTTAGTGGCAACTGTGACTTGAGCTTTAACAGCAGAAGACTAGAAATAATAAAAGCTGTTGATATTATCCATTATTTGCTGTTAGCACTTTGACGTCTCAGTGTAGGTGCTTTGGACTGAGAAAATGGTGGGTGTGATAAATCATACATTTTGTAACAAGACATTTACAAAATACGTTATCAGACGTTCAAATAAAGCAAACATTTTCACAGATATGTTTTTATTTGTCAAACTGAAAGAGCTTTTGTTTGAAGCAACACATTTTTTAACTGTATACAGTTTATCACTCTCCTCTTCAGGCTTGAACTTAACCAGCATTATAATACGTATGTTATCATGATTGACACTCAGAATGAGGAGGTAAGAAATATTCTGTGAATAGCGGACACAGAAATACAACAACAGGATGAGTTTCCACTCTGCTCCCCTTTTTGAACTTGGGAGATAAAGTTTTACAATGCACAAGACAATCAATGGCTAGTACAAAGTAAAGGCTATTAGATCTTTATGATATGCAAGAACATAATGCGCCTTGGGACGTCTTTCTTATACTGTTCAAACTCATACATCATGCAAACTTCCTCAAAGCTTTGTAGCAGACCTGCTGACAGGAAGCTGGCTACAAAGATCAATCAGAGCAGATGCTGGCCAAGATCTAGTTATTTAGCAATAAACAATTCAAGAGTGCACAAAATAATGTGTTTATGCGTATCCTTTGTCCATGAACCTAAGAAATGACAATCACTGATTCACACCAATTACAATTTTCACATATTGGTAATTACAGCAAGGTCTTTCAGTGTAATTTACATTGTACAATTGAAGTTTGGCAATGCATGAGTGAACTTTTCCAAAGATATCCCATTGTTCTTTAATAAACCAGAATAAAAGCTATACTCTGTTTCAATCAGCCAGATAACAATCAAAATATGCTTTTGTTATGTTTTTACGGTTTCTTGCCATCTACAAAGAGTATTATGTTGATGGATGACAGCGCTAAATGCCCTAGCACGCAACAATATAAAGTTAGCAACAAAATGTTGTGATGGTGACACATTTTCTTGGTGTGTTCTTTGCTGTGCTTTTAGAATTAAGTTTAAAAGTGTTTGATTTGAATATAAAGTGATGAAAAGAACAATGGCACTCAGCCAAAATTACTTTGGTGCATCAAATTAAATATGTTTTTTTTTAGTGTTACTTTCAGGATGGGCTGCAATCTTGGAACAAATTCATGGTACTTCTACAATATGGAATGATTGGATAGTTAAGTGTCTGAAAGCATAAAAGCACCCCCCTTCAGCTGTTGTTCTAGCACTCGACACTTTGAGTAAACTAGTTGAGAGTGGGAACCACTAGAGTAATCCAGGCCTATTTTTAAACCATGTGGAAAAGGGCTGTGACACCGCTGCTATGCCTCAGGTAGTTATTTTCTTCCATTTATTAAACTAGTCAAGCATCATTGTTCATTTACTGCAGCCAACAGCAGAATCCACACACTGGAAACGGCACAACTAGGATATTTTGATGCGATGGTATGGCGGCATCTTTTTCCCCGGAAACGTATTTTCCATGAAACCATTTAAACATGCAGAGTTGTTCTCACGTCATGTGCAAATACCCACAAGCTCTAAAATTAAATTTCATTTCACATTATATTTCATTACTATATCATCTGTAATACACGTATGAGACTAAAAATCAGATCCCCTGAAATAAAGAGGCTGTCAATATTTACTTTAGAGCTCTGTACTGTTACTACGGTTCATCATTGTTGTAGGTTGAGATAGCATTTTTTCATATATTATTAATCTTGAACATTTGCTCTTTTTTGAAAAACAAAAAGCTACATTTAATTAACAATTATTATGTATCGTACCAAAGGGGTTAATAAAGAAAATAACTGTTTTCAATATTTGAATGGAGAGGAGATGGTTTAAATAACAGCTCTCACTCAATTGACGTTTTCTTTAAATAATAATACAGAGACATATTTAAATAGGTGGCCAAAAATGATAAATGTGTGGGTTAATATTACATCTATCCTGAGTTAGATCTCCAAGACAACACAAAGACATTTAACACAGATCTTATGCATCTGACAGCTGATACAAATAAATCAAAAATAAATACAAAAAAGAAACAAGCGAAAGAAAACAATCCAATTATCTTAGAAAAATCGAGCGTTAATCACACAAATAAAAAATGGAGCTCTTTATGAGAGCAGTAAGACAAGTCAACTGGAGATAGCTTCAGTGTGCTGCAGTAAACGTTAAACTGCAGGGCCTTTTGTTGTCTCGTATCAGGTATCTTCAGTAAGCTTTTGCAGTGTGTTGTAATGTTTCAGAACTATTGAAAAATGCACATAAAAATAGGTCCCTAAATCAAAGCCATTGTTCCCCGGGCTAGAGGTTTAAAATGATTTGTCATAATATACATTTATAATTTACGCACCATGCAATTTTTTTGACTTTTACATATAATACAAGAGCATTAATAGTGTTTTGATTGATGTAGTAATGTCAGTGTTCATTAGGGTTAAAGCATGGCTTGAGGAAAGTCGTAATCAAAGTAAAAATATATTTGATAATGCGGTAAGGTGTGACCTCTACATGGTATTTTAGAAAGTTTAGTAATGGTATGAAGTTGGTAAATAATGTCCAATGAAGCACGACAGACAGCTTTCACATGTTTGTTAAAAAGTGACACTGTACTAATAGCTTCCATGGCAACAGGATGAAACCACAGCAAGAACCCCCCGACTCCAACCCCACCCCAACCCCACATATATTACAGAAGTTCATTCCAAACAGGATGGTAAATCTTGAGGAGAATAAAAAGACAAAGTTCACGCTTTAAAGAGGAAATTAAAAGACAAGAGTGGGTTAAGGGCAGGTTTTAAATCATTGTACAAAAGGAACAAACAGCAACCCACCACAACCAAACACGTATTCTTGAAAAATCCATTGGAAATTGATTTCTTTTTACAGGTTGCACAGTTTATTTTTGAAATACAGGGAGAGATACTCCAGTATGCCACGGGATAGGGGGAACATGGCAAGAAAGATGGAAGACAGGACTTCACTCTTCCTCTGTGCATCCCAGTACTTCTGCACGCAAAGTGATCCTGCCGTACCATGACCAGGGAAGGATCCGGAGGAGCCGAGCGTAGATGGGGGGATCTAACACGTTCTTTCGGTGCGTGTCGTTGTCAAAGTTACCTTGGAATACCTGTAAAGACAACAGAATAGAGAGATTGTTATTTTGGCAACCAGAAACTAACATTCATCTGTAAAGTGAATGTTAATTGTGTGTGTTTTTTTTAAAACATGGTAATTAAATGCTTTAGAAGTCAACATGTGGAGAAAAAAGACATCTTCAGTGGAAAACCAGAAAAACCAAATGCTTTGTAACTGGGATGCAGCTGCAGAACATTCCTGGTAAATTCCTTGCCTGATTTCTGCAGATTGTTACCTTCAAGGCCTCACGCATGAACAGCTACTGAATGAAGTGCAGCCAATCAGAGCTTCAATCCAAAACACTGCCAATAACAGTTCATTCTCTGAATTTGGTGCTGTTTTTTGTTCTTTTCTTTGATGCACCACACGTATGAGCACATCAATAGTTTCCCCCAGTGGAAAATTGTGCGTTGTTAGAGCAACACAGCTGGAAGTTCCACCTCCACAATTAACTGCAGACTGCTACTTGCATTTTTGCCTGCTTACTGTGTGGTGTTCTTAACATGCACCATGTGCTTGGTGGTCTTGTTTTTTCCATCAATTGTGTTGTACATTTCAAATGGTTTAGCCTTGGCATTATATAAAAGGATTTGCGGTTGCCAGAAATGTTGCTTTAAAGGGAAAAGTGTATATCTCCAGTATTGGCTCTCTATAACTCATAACATATCGTGTTACAGACTAATATGCATTCTGGATTAACACTCCTACACTCTTATTGCAGTACGTAGCCACTGGCATATCCTTCACTGAGGTGCTAAAAATCCTGTTGTATCCAATTTAAACTAAACATTCAAGTCGTTAAGTGGGAGATTTTAGTGTCTGCACCACTTTTATTCTAATTCAATGACATTTAAAGGCCTTTAGATAAGCCTTGAGAGAACAGTTCCGGGGTTAACTACAAGATACAAATAAGCTAATTTCCATACTGGGACGTGTGCTCTATTGTTGATTATTAGATGCTTTGTGTTGGTGTGTGCTAAATAGCAGAATAATTAAGTATATTAGAAAGAAATGTATCTACAGGGACTGCTCCAATGAAGGATATGATCATCTCAATTAAACAGACATGATTATTCCTGTGTAATTGGGATGTAATGGGAATCACTGTTGTGTGCAATAGAAAATCAGTTGGCCAAATCCGAGCTGGTGCTGGAGACAGTGGTTGACCATTTCAGAGTAGAGCTTCAACTAATTATCTTTAAACTTATCTTTAAAATACTCATAGGCCGTGGTTTAGATTTGAACAGTTAAAGGTCCCATGTCATGGCCATTTCCACTGATCATAATTCCATTGTTGAGGTCTACTAGAATAGATTTATATTGTGCAATTTTCCAAACTCACATTGGTTTCTCATACAGCATCTCTGTAAACTACGTGTATTCACTGAATTTCACTCTCTGCCTTTAACGGCTCGTTGTAGCTCCAGTAGCTCCAGCTCCCACCCTCCCTGTGAGCACAGTGTGCTCTGATTGGTCGGGACGTTGTGAATCGCGCTGAGCTCCGTGGAGGTGTTGTTTCCTTGTTTAGCGACAGCGAAACACAGTCAAACTCACCCTGAGCACCCACAAAGTCACAGCCGAAGTAAAAACAATAAGTGTGGCTTGATATTGAGTAAGAAAAAGGTTGATAAACGCTGTGAGAATGGGTCTGTAGAGAGAATTTCGCCGCGATCCCAACTGTCTGTTATCAGCCTGCAGCCAGGGAGGAGAGATCAGCAGAGCTGCCTGCACTGAGTGTGTGTGTGAGGAAGTCCGTGGATTGGTCAATTTGGACCAATCAGCGGGGGCTTAACGTAACGGATTGGTCCATTTCGTTCCGAGTACGGTTGACATCATGCGTACCCGGAAGAATCAAATGGACAGTGACGTATCCAACGAGGCGTTTTGGGGAGGTATTTTCTGTGTTAGAGTTTTACTCGCTACAGGGTGTACTTTGAGGGTTTGTGACTCTGCAGACCGTTTACATGCATAAAAACCTTCATAACACACAAGGGGACGGGTAATAACCAGAAAAGCATGACATGGGACCTTTAACACTTGGTTTGAAGGTTTCATTATAACCAGTGCTTGTACAAATATTTTGACAAAATATTCAAGCATTACATACTGTATCACAGTCTAAGAGCAGATTTGATGATTTTAGTACCATAGCCTTGGTGCTTGGTGGACTAGAATACTTGTTGTTTTTTGGCCATATTTGATATTGAAAAGAGATTTTGGGTAGGGTGACACTTTTTCAACTGGAAGACCGTCCACAACCTTCTAGGTAATCACACATAGGAACATAGAAATTGACAAGAGGAATTGGTCAGAATAAAAACTGCACATCGACTCCATCAAAGAGCAGACGAGACATGTCACGTGACATGATGAAATATTTTCGACCTTTTACTTTGCTTTTAAATGAACATTCTAGTGTTAACTTGACCTGTAAGTGCATCACAATTATATATCACCAGTGACACATAATGGTTTATCTGGCTATCATTTGGTGCCTAAAACTTAATTTTGAGCCTAATGCTACTTTCATCAGATGAAAATCTTAATCCAGCAGATACCTACATAAGGCTACAGTTTTGCGGTATAGGATGACTGCTTATACACTGTATGTATGGTGTACAGATACTGTAATAGAATCACTCAAGGACCATTTATATTACCCAGTAGCAGCCAGACATATAAGATATACTTGTCCCTTATGAACATGCGATAATTTGACAAGATATCAAACCTCTGCCCTCTCTTCTTAGAACTTGTTTACATTAATACGACAGCTTTCATTTTATTCTTTATCATGTTGTTGTCTGAGCTTCACCTGCAGACTAAAGCTGAAATCATATGACAGGCATACACTTTCATTGCTTTCCTTATTTCACAAACTGGCCGCCTTTACCTCCTGCTGCAGGGAAACTCATTCCCTTCTCTTTGTTTCTCATCTATGTAGCAGAAAGCTTATTCTGTATTCAGACAAGGTTTGCATCTGTATCTACATCATGTGACATTCTGCTCTCCCTATCATTATTGCCTCTCTACTTTGATCCTTTTACTTACTATAAACCTCAAATCTACACATGGTGCTTCATATGCTTTGTGTGTTTATTCATATATCCAACATTGTTTTTGCTTGAGAAGTAACTCAAGTATTGTTTTAATGATTTAGAGTACCTGTATAAAATGACTTTTATCCAGATATTAAACATTACATTTTAAATTGTTAAATAACTCACTTTTAATTGAAACTTTTTAGGGGAGATCAGAAGAATCATCAATGTGTTTAAATAGACTCAGAAGTTAAAGGGCCCATGTCATGCTTTTCCGGTTATTACCCGTCCCCTTGTGTGTTATGAAGGTTTGTATGCATGTAAACGGTACACCCTGTAGCGAGTAAAACTCCAACACAGTCTATGCTGCCCCAAAACGCCTCGTTGGAGATTTCTCATTTTCCATTGTTTACTTCCTGGGTACTGTGACGTGTGAATACCCAGAGGCCACACCCTCTGCCAGCCTTTCACGAAACAAAGCTTCCCAAACCTTTCAGCGATTCATGGCGGATATGTACAGCGTAGGGCACTGAAGAACGATGCTGTTCCTACTTTGTTTGGACCAGCGGGAGATTCGGGTACACAACCTTTAAGTATTCATTGTTGTTTGTGTATTTATGATGTTTAAAACAAACAAAGTATCTACCACCACTGTTTAAATGGGTAAACGTTTTTCAGGCTGCTACATTGGGATTGCGGAGAAATGCTCTCCGCAGACCGATTCTCACAGCGTTATAAATCTTTTTCTTATTCAATATCAAGCCACACTTATTGTTTTTACTTCGGCTGTGAGTGTTTGTGTGTGCTCAGGATGAGTTTTGCTTGTTCTCGCTGCATCGCCGACCCGGAAGCCTGAATATGATTTATCTNTTTTATGGCCGTGTGCTCTGAGTGGCCTATTACAATCTCAGGTATTAATGTTTGTGCTTTAATGCCCTTGCTTCAGTGGAAGGCTGGCTTTGTTGTTGAGGAAATAACAGAAATGTGATATAATTGAATGGTCTAAATGTACCAGTTCCATTTTAAAGCACTCTTTGTGAGGGAAACTTCTGCAGCAATGGAGAGTCAGGACTCAGAGGAGAGTTTGAGCTTTGATGTCAAACATTGATGTTTATTTACAAGTATCGGCCGGAGAAATTCCCATCACAAGTCACACAGCCAGAGATTGACCAGCCTATCTCTCGATAGACCATTTAACTAGTTTACAGAGAGTTGATCCACATATTGGGGGATGGTGCGTAAACACTGGAGATATCCCCGATATCTGGAAATACTCAATCACCTGTCTGTGGGACTCACAGTCATAAAACCCTCTGACCGATAGTAAAACTGAGAATAACATCACATGACTGCATTATCACATTTCAGTCAGACAACTCACGTGTTTCTTTAACATGTTTATTAGAAGCAGTATATAGTTGAGTTTGGCGACTAGGCTCGGGCATCATCACTCCATAGATATACATAGCACGATGAGTGATGATCAAATAACTAACCCCCGAGCCTACAGGTGGAAGCTGGGGTGGAAGCTGGGGTGGTGGTGGGGCAGGCAAGCAGCAGCGACGTAAAGGTAGCTGCGGCAATAGCAGCAGCAAGCAATGCATGGAGAGAGAACTGGCAGGTTAAATAGAGCGACATATTAAGGAGACTCTGTTTGGTTGGTTGCAGAGTGGCAAGGGGCGTTATGTATGAATGCAGCATAAGTGCTCGAGTTGACTGCCTGAACTAGCTCGCAGGCTTCGCCCCATTCCTTACGGGAGATAACACACTCATTGTTGGTCGTAAACGTCAACAGGCAGAAAGGTTAAATATCTAAAGTAAAGACAGAAATAATCTCCAACACTCTTGAAAGTATTCAATTATAGATGGGGGAAAATATGTGTACAAACAAAAAGCTTACAATGCAGGTGTTTGTGGTGCAAGCTGAAATGCTAGCGTGTTTAGCCGGTATAATGGTTATCATGTTTACTATCTAAGTTTAATTAGCGTTTGATAATTGGTAGTGAGCACACAATACAATGTTATTGAAAATAATGTAATAAGGAGGGGGAACATGGATGTAACACATTTCATATCAAAAGTGTCAATCTCATGGAACAAGAGCCAAAGTCATTATTATTCATCCTCTGGGGACCATGACTGTCTGTACAAAATGTTGTGCTACTCCTTTTGGTATTGAGTAATTTCACTGAAAAAATAAAGTCATGACTCTCGCTGGACAAAATCAGGATTCATCCTCTGGGCAGTGAGCACCACCAATATCATTGTAAAGTTCATGACCGAAATAATAGATCAATAGACCGTCAGACAGACATAAATTGAGAGCCCTGGCTAAAATGTGTGATTGCAGTGTGAGCCATTTGTTCTTTGAAAGATATATTTATTCTGGTCTCACATTGCCTGGGGTTATCAACATGCAGGTGCCATTTATTATGTTTTTAAGCATATTAGACATACTGTGAAGATGGAAAAACCAGTCAATATTTGTAAGAATAATAAAAAATGTAAGCAACATTGCTTCACGAGTGAGCTGGCATAAAGACAAGGGTGAAGAGGAGTAGGGAGGGTGGGAGTGTATGTTCAATATATAGCTTTACCCTTGCCATGTAAAACTGTTTGGCTTACAAACATGTGTGCCTGCCACCATATTGCACTTCACTGTGAGTCACTGCATGGTCCTTTCCTGTATTTATATCCCCAGCATTTTGGCTGTGAGATGTGCCTTGACCAGTCAGCCCACTGAGTCTCTTAATGTACTGCCAACACGATGTTGCTCCGTAACAAAGACATCAGTCCTTGTGTCGGGAAAGCTTATTCTACATTTTAAGTCCATTTGATCCACATTCCACATTTAGCACTTAATTTAAAGTAAAATATCGAACAACAGAAAATGTTTAAGTTCATGCTGAAATGTTGTTTCAAGGGACTTTCTCATTGTGATATTGCCTCTATTGTCCTCTATGCTCACACTTCAGACTTTCCCCTTACCTCTGAGAGCTCAGCAGACATACATTCTGACATCCTTCTACCCACATGTGGAAAACCCGGCCTCAGCGATGCCAGAAAGGAAATCCGATGTGTGTGTTTTTGTGTGTGTGTGCGTGTTTGCATGTGCTTTGCTTCTACATTATGTGTCTCTTAGTGAGTGACATTTCAAATACAAATGTATTTTACTGCATGTTACTGCATACGAACCAAAGTGTCAAATACAGTTAGTCATACTACCACGTTATCCTGATTTCAATTTATATCAATTTCCTACATGGCATTTACTCATTTGATAGGAATAACTTGTAGCCTGAGGCACAAACACAACCTCTTTGTTGTTTGTGTTTTTACAGTTATAAATAAATATACATTTCCAACAGATTCTTACATAGTTCTTAAGAAATGTGCTTAGAACAGCCTTATACGCTGCCTGAAGATGTAAAGGTGTAGGCCTACCTTCTCAAAATATTTAAATGTTTCCATCAGCAAGCTGTTGGCTCTTAAGAAATGTTTTTCTTTTTATCCATTTAGACCTGCAGCTATTTATAATGGGCCATCTAGATTTTAAAGTGTAATAAGTCATTAGGGCCCCTTTGTCCAATATACTTAGTGTATGAAGGTCTACAGGCTGTTTGTTTTCCACAGTAATAAACAAAGCAAACCAAAGTAATGAATATGAGTTCCAGTCTAAATAGTTTGGGCTGCTCTA